GTTTGAATAGCAACATATATTTCTGATGCTCCTAAAATCTGAGAAAATTACAGTAGCATAATACTACCTAAACAGACTACCATAAAAATTTCATAGCATTTGGATAAGTAAACTATCCTACACAAAAATGACAAGCTATAGCATAAAATGAGCATGAAATTACTTTGTACTATGAAAAGTGTCAAACAACAGAATTAGTATTTTTCCTAGGTTCTTAATAGCATATAATGACTGTACAAAAATTATCAGATGCATGTTTTATGCAACTTTGGCTTTTTAGCAAAAATAACAAAAATCAGCCATTAAAGGGACTTGAACTACACCTCAAAATTTTCCCACAGCACATGCATGAAACCTATTTTTCTTAGGAAGTACATGACATAAGAAGATGAACAAACTTGAAATCATATTTTTCTGAAGCCTATATATTTTTATACACATTTTCAAGTTATCAGCAATTTACATGATTAAATAAAATCCTATAGAAAAGTATCTCAAAAATGACATGCAATAATTTTCCCAAGTAGATCTGGTGATAAGGAACCTAGCAAAATTTGTTTCAACAAATTTGGAGCAAGTTTGACCATCCAAATATTTTTCAAACCATTTCAGATTTCAAATAATAAAGAATAATGAAAATCAATTCACTTAAAGCGTTCTTGGGCGCCCGTGGGGAACAGCTGGCCCACACCACCACACCCTGGCTGCTGCTGAGCCGAAAGGAGGAAAGAAGACGGCCAACAGGCGTCAACCCCGACTTTGGCTCGGCTGGCAGCCGAAGCAGAGCGCGCTTCTTCGGGCTTGTGTGTTGTTGCTTGACATGTGGATCGGCCAGTGACCCGTGGCAAATCTCCGGCCATGGCGGTAGCAAACAAGCAGCGCAATAGGTGTCGCGAGCCATGGCTAAGCGAAAGCGAAGCGACTAAAGCACGGTGAGAAGGGAGGAAGAGGCGCTCCACAGCGGCCAGAAACGCAGCAGCGCCATGGACGTCGGTGGCGGTGGCGAGCGGGAAGCTCACCGAGGCTCGGAAAAGCGGCGCAAGCGCGCGCGTGAGCCGAAGGGAGGCGAGGCGCTGCTACTGGCGCGAGCAATCGGAAAATGACGCTGTGGTGCGAGAGCTTAAGCGGCGCGAGCGAAGGCGCGCGGCGAGCGGCGGAGCTCGAGCTCTCGGCTCTGGAGGGAGAAGAGAGAAGCGTGGGCGCGAGTGAGCGAAGTCTTGCGGGCATCAGCAGTGAAAGGCGGGCGTGGGCGCGATGTCGAACCCGCGGCTGCCTTGCTGCCATGATTGACTTGACATCTGCGGTCGCCACATGTGGTGGACGCTTTACCCATGATGATCGTGGCGTGGCGTGGCAATGCAGGCGAGGGGGACGGCCTTGGCGGCGCGTGGGGGCTGGGCTGGGCGAGGCGCGATGGAATTTGTGCCTTGGCTGGCGGCTTCTTTGGCGCGCTGGGCGGCCGGCGGAAGCGGGCGAAGCGGTAGGCGCAAGGCCCACGAAGGTAAAAACAAGATTTTTCAAATTAATTTGAATTCCTTTTCCATTCAAACGAATTTTTGGACTAAATCAAAGCAGTTTCAAACTTTGGGCCAAAAATAAAAGTTGCTCAAAATTTTATCCTCTACAACTTTGATTTTAAGACCAACGTCCAATTCATTATAGATTTTGAATTATACAATTAAAGTCAATTTTGAGTTGAACCCTAATTTTTGAAGAATTATTTTTAAAGCAAAATTTGGCAATAATTCAAATGCAAACCTTGCTCCAAAAATTGTGATAAACAATTCTAGATGATTTATAATTATAACCAAACAAGCTCTACTACCCTAGCAAGCAAAATCAGGGCAAAACAATTCTTAAACCGGTGTATGCAACATTCAGGTTTCACGCACGTTTCAATTGTTTCAAAACAATGTTTCAATTGATATGCACATGATTAAGCACGTAGGATTTGGATGCTTGATGATGCATGATATGCGTGATTTGCAGTGCTTAAATGTAGGCATAACACCGGGGTGTTACATAATCGCCCTACTCACTCTTTTATATTATTGCAAACTAGTTGTGGCAAGCTCTTTAGTGTAATTAGAATTGAGAGCTTGATTTGTTATTTAAAGTTCATCTAGTGGAGCTCTTTAGTGTAGTAAGATTGAGAGCTCTTAGTGAGTAGTATCATAGCAAGTTGTGTGTCTAGTAATCATTGCAACTAGAATTTTTGGATAGGTGGCTTGCAACCCTCGTAGAGCTAGAGCAAGTTTGCATTTCGCTATTTGTCTTACTAATCAAATTGCTCTAGTTGTTTTGTAGAATTTTAAATAGGTTATTCACCCCTCTAGCTATATTAGGACCTTTCAGAGGTGGATAGGCGGATGCGGCAGGCTCTTCGGTGCCAACAAAGGAAGCGGGGAGGCGAAAAGGGCTGTGTGCGTGGAGATCGACAAGCTCAACCCGAGGTCGACAATGGCGGCGAGTGTGGGCTCGACCAGGGTCCTGTCCGACTTCCTCTCATCATAGAACGCCTTCATCTTCTCCCCCACGCTCGTCGCCGGGGCAGGGGCATCGCGGCGCGCACGGGCGAGCTCTGCCTCGGCCACCGCGACCGACGCATGGGCGAGCTCTGCCTCGGCCACCGGCCATCCGGTCCTCTCACGCTCCCCTCACACTGCCTGTGCTCTTCCGGGCCATCTGGTCCCCTTGCGCTCCTCTTCTTGAGGAGGAAGAAGATACCAAGGTCGCTAACGGCTTGGCCCCACCTGGCCTACTTCTTATTGTGACTTTGGGCTAATGGCTGTTTATAGTTTAGTATTTCTTTCACTAGAATATATGTTCATGAAGCTGTGCTTTCTTTTTACGAATGTATTTAATTGTCCTTTAAATTATGGATTTATGTGTCAGGAATTTATCCTTTTACCGAAGCACTGAAATATGAGCATTTACCTTACTTATATGGTGATGATGATCTTGTTAATCTTTTTTTTTTGACGCAGATAAGCCACGACCCGTCGCGAGAACGGGTACCGCGCGACCCCCTCTCCGCAAGCACGTGACCTGCCTCCGACATCAGTGCATGTACTTTCGACAGCACTGCATGCATGTACAAGATCAGACCCGCTTTAGTGCCTTTTGGTTTCAAATAAGTCACCTACTTATAAGTTAAAAAGTAAAATAAGTGACTTATTTTGTTAAACACCACCAACTTATAAGTCACCCACTAACTTAAAACTTATAAGTCACCCTTTTCCACGTGGGGCCCACACCTTTAATGAGCTTATAAGTCATCTATGACCAAACATGCATGACTTATAAGTTACTGGTTTTCAGTCACATGACTTAATAAGTCACCTAACTTATGGAAACCAGGCCCTTACTCTCTTCACTCCCTTTCCATTGCATGCAAGCTGACGTAAAGAAAAAAAAGTGAAATGTTTTTTAAATTGCTATAGTTTTTGAATGGTGTATCCTTTTTAATTCCGTCTACGTGGGTGTGTTCTATGTGACGAGACGAACAAAACTAGATCCTCTTACATATGTTTCGAATTTTTTTAGTAGCAATTTATGTATAATACATGCTAGAAGATTTATGAAAGGAGTTACTACCATATAATACTAAAGTTGTTACTTCAAAAATATACTAAAGTTGTTACATAGTATGCACAAGCTTAGAGGATCAAAAGGAGTTACTACCATGTGAAACTAAAGTTGCTACTCCAAATATATACAAGCTATTACATAGTATACACAAGCTGAGGGGGAAAAAAATCAAAGGAGATACTATAGTTGTTGCCAACTACCATGTAATATTATAGTTGTACAACTTGAGAGCAAATTATTGCAACACCATAAAAATAGACGTTTTTGCTAACCAAGGGGCAATTTATTATACAACCCAATGCAACAACCGGAAAACATGACTAGCTCCCAACTGGGATGAGGGCATTCATTAGAAAAAACGAGAGTACTGGCATGAAACAAGACAAGTTGAAACTTGAAGGGCAAATTATTAGAACAAACATTGCATAAGTTGTCAACAAGGGGGCAAGTTATTACACCATTGCAACGGTTGGAAAAAAATGACTACCTGCTAACTAGGGGCAAAATAATACAAACACGATTATAGGAACCACACAAACACAAACAATTATCGATTGAAGGGCAATTTCATAAAAAAAACAAATTGTATCGACAACAAAACAGGACAACCTGCCAACTTGGTGGGCAAATTTATTATTAGAAACATTATAGGCACCGTAAAACACGGCAAGCTACTAACTAGGGGGGAAAACAATATAAAAACACAAGTATTTATCAATTGGATGACACATTATTAAAAAATATTATACCGGCACCAAAACATGACTTCCAACTAGGGTGAGTTATATTTTGAACAAGTGGCAAGTTATCATGACAATGTACGGCAGCTCGAATGTCAAGTTCTAATAATTACGAGATGACTTCCTCATGTTGTCAAACAAAATTTAAAATAAAAAATAAAAAACATGTTGCAATGAAATGATATTGATCAAAGTTCGTAACAAAGTGTTATACGAGTAGAGACATGTACAAAAGCATTACAAGTAAGAGGAGGAGCCAAGTGGCTAAGTATAGATGGAGGAGTTAAAAGAAAATAAAAAAATGAAAACAAAAAAATCATCAGAGAAAAAAGATAAAAGAACTACAATCTAACAACATCACTAAACAAAATAACTAAAATATCATTGAACTGAAAGGGATACTGAAAAAAAACCCTCATAACTCAATAAAATAAAACTACAAGCTGCATGACCTTGTGTATGGCAAGTTTAATTTCAAAGTATGTAGTAAGTTATATTTTAAGAAAGTGGCAAGATATCGTAAAATGATAAATTCTGAGAATTATGACTTCCAAATATATGAAAATTTACACGGAAATTAAAAAGAATTAATGAAACAAAAAAATGAGACTAAAATAATTGGATAATTGAATCTCAACACTCATAACACTGAAACTAAAAGGAACAAGCTCAAATGTTAGGTTTCCAAGTGAAGCAGATATTTGCCCGTCTAAACCTCAGATTTGCAAGGTTAAAATTAGTGACACGACGGCTCCTCGTCTTGCACATGACACCTTCCCAATTGCAGAAATGAGTGCTGTCATTCCAAGAAACCAATGCTTGCTGTGGGTCCAAACCAATCGCCCTCTTGAATTCAAGCAGCGAGTCGATCTGTTTGGTTCCCAGGAGTGATGCTGCTGGTGACAACATGGACGCTGCAAACCACGAGCACCAGCACAAACCGTCCAGGTGCAGTAGCCTCCATGTTGATAATAAGCAGGGGGTGTGAAAAATTCAGAAGTGAGGAATTCCAGCGGCTTCAACTTTCTATTTTGTTACATCCAAGGAGCTGAAGATAAACACCAATTGCTTGTATTGTGCCTAACATTAAAATAATACCTAAACTCATTAAACTGAAACTAACAAAAAAACATTTTAACTGAAAATGAAAATGAACAAAATAACTTGATTAAACAAAAAAAAACAAGTTCCATAACTAAAACAATGACAAAAGAACTAAGTAGAAACTAAAACACTTAAAAAAGAACCGTATAATCTGCAACCTAGGAGGCAAGCATTGAATAAGCTGCCAAAAGGGTAAATTATTAAATAGCAAACAAAAACTAAAACTGATAATGACAACATAGGTACCAAAAAAATGAAACTGAAAATTGACAACTAGAATATTTAAATGAAATTTATATGTCGCAACTTATCATGAAAAACTATTTAAATGAAAAAATGAAGCATAAAACTAAATACTAACTGAAATTACAAACTAAAATTGCTAAACTGAAATTACAATAATAATTCTAATATTAGTACAGAAATAATAATGCGAATATTAGTGAAACAAAAAAATTAAAAGGATTGAACATGCCAATACATATAACAGGGCATACTAAGAAGCTAATAATTATAAGCTAACAAAAAAAAAGCAAAATGAAAACTAACTGAAACTGAAAGCAAACACAAACTGCATATAACATGTCATACTTTAGAAGCTAAAAACAGAAATGAAAGCTAACTGAAACTGAAACTGTATATAACAGTAACAGGGCATACTTTAGATGCTAAAAAATAAATGAAATCACAAACTGAAATTGCTAAACTGGAAATACTAAATGAAATTACAAAATGAAATTGATAACTGAAATTAAATAATGAAATTACTAATTGAAGTTACAAAATGAAATTAAAAAATGAAATTGCTAGCTGAAATTTAAAACTGAAAATAAAAACTGAAATTACAAGAAAATAGGGCGAAGTTCTCAGACCAAAGCGGGATACTGCTTCGCTTGCAGTCTAACACGCCTCTTATATTCTGTAGGATCCTGCAAAGCCAAATAAAATGTTACAAACGTGATCGGCTATCTGAACTTCAAAACTAAGGAGTACGGTTTTGGGCAAACAATATCTTTGTTGTGATCCATCACTTTTGACTAACCTGGATAAAAAGGTGATATAGCGAGCAGGGTCAGCAGGATTTGGCTGATCTAGCAAGTCCTGGATCCCGATCAGAACCTGCTTAACAGGAATAGCTGGTCTCCAACCCTGACAGAAAAAAATTGAAACAGTAAGGCCATGAAATCAGTATAGCATCACACAAGGCTACGGAAATGATTGCAAAGCTTACGCTGTCCTCGTAAAGGATTGAAAGGCAGACTATTCAAGAAGGATAGACATTTGGGAGGAAGAAACCCTGAGGGAACTTGCACTTGGGACGCTTGCTGGGGCAATCCTCACTGAAATGAAGTGTTAGAGGGAAGTATCCACCTTCCCAATCAGTTTGGCAAAGAAATAAAGATGAGAATCAGTTAAAAGTTCAAACTGCGTTATCTTATTACAGACAGCTCCGATAAATATCATGACAATAATATGGAAACACCTGCAAGCTAAGTTGGTGAAAAATCGTATCCTTGCACAAGAATTCAATGGTGTAACCTGAAACAAATAACAAAAAGCATCCAATACAGATAACAAGTAAAACGAAAAATGTATAGTTCATCAAAGGAAAAATAACCTATTCAGACCTAGTTATACCTTCATTGCTCACTTAATAGTGGAAAGAGCAAATGCATCAAAATTGAATTGGCTATGATCAGATTTCAGGTCTCACTACAAGCTGGCTGACAGGACTCACTAATTTACCAGAATTGCAATGAATATATCAAGAGATACAAAATGCACATTGGAAAACCATTGCTCGACAAAGTGACAACAAAATAATGGAAATGAAATTGACAAATAATAACTAAAAACTAAAAAAGACAAAATGAAAACTAAAATAGAGCTCTCAAATTATAACGCAAGGTAATGCCAATAGCAATTGAGTAACTTGCCACTACAACATAACTGAAATGAAAACTTCATTTTTATGTAACTTGCTACATGCTAAGAAATTTCAATTTTCAAATAAAATCCTTCGGACTACAGACACAGATCAAGGCGCGTGGCTCGCCTCGGATCTCTTCGTGCGGGCATGGCGGCGGCAGCGCGGCAAACCCGCGCGCGGAGGCACCGATACGGCCGGCCGAGGCGAGCTGGAGGGCGGTGAGGACGAGGTGGAGGCGAGCTGGAGGGCGGCGAGCTCGACGACCTGCGGCGCTGCACGTCTGCCCCCGACGCGGCGGTCCTGGATCCGGAGCACGTGCAGCAGCAGGCTGGCGGCCGACGGGCGCAAGGATGACTAGCAGCCGGCGAGCGCAGTGGTTGTGGTAGCACATGGCTGACAAGCACGGGGTGGGTGGGTCGCTCGCCTGGCAAGCTCAGCGTCGGGGGCGGCCGGCGAGCGGATTCCGCGGCGGGCCACGACCATGGTCTTCCCCGGATGGGGGTTTGCTAGGCCGTCGCGGCCTACAGTCGCGCGCTGAAGTTGGAGCGCGACCGGTCGTTTAATTGACTTTGCGGTTTTTTTAGAAAATTTGTATAAATTTCATAAGTCAGCTAGGTTGCATTGGGTATATCAGCCCAGAGTTTCCTTTAAGGCCCATTGGACACCTAAGCCCATTCATTCAAATCCTGCTATTTATTTGATTTTTTTTCTGTCAAATATCTCGCTATACTAGCACCCGATCGGCGATTCTTGGTCTTCATGGAATTTCGGTGAGATGTTCTTGCTGACACCCGAATTTTGATCTGTAGTCTCTAACAAATATGAGCTGTTCTCGTACCGTTGGCCAAAATACCATTAGCGCACCGGCCTTTTACTCCTCTTCCGTTCCATCTGCGGCCAACGACGATGGTGCGGTCACCTCGTCCCTCGGGGCACGATGATCCAGCTCTGATGAAGACGGTGCGTCCGCTGCCTCACCCAGAACACCAGCCTGTTCCTCGGCTGCCACCTTTGCACCAACACCATCAGGTTCCGCCAAGGACGACGGCACGTCCGGCACCTTGCCCGGCCCACCAGCCTGTTCCTCGGCCGCCTTTATTGCACCACCACCACCATCAGGCTCCGACGGGGACGATGGTGCGGGTGCGGCGGCCGCCACCTCGACCATCACGCCACCGTCGTCCTCGTCTGCATCACCCACAACATCCTCCTCCATAACAGCGTCGTCGTCGTTCCCATCCCCGCCGTTGCCGCCGCCGTCGCCATTGTTCAGCTGGAGCCTCTTCTGTTCCACTTCGTCCAAGGCTGCGTCGGCGTGCGCGGCGTCGCCTCTGCGGTAGTGCAGAATGACCATCCCGACCTTTCCCCCCGGCGGCCGGAACAACCACAGGTCCATCATGATGTCGTCCATCGGTGCCTGCTCGTCTTTGCCGACGACGAGGCCGTTGCGCCTCAGGAAGTCGCTCCAGTTACTGATGAGCCGGTAGGCAGTGATGGTGCTCAGAAACCTCAACGTCAGCTCGTACGCGTCGCCGCCACGGTCGTACGCCGTGAGCGCCAGCCCCTTGCCGTGCGCCTTCATCCTCTCTTCCTCAGTCAGGAACGCGTAGAGCGGGAACTCGACGTTGTCGGCGCGCCATCTCTTGCACGATATCTGCAGGCGTGCTTGCTGGATGGCCCTGTCGCACCTGGATAGCAGCCTGCCGTAGACGCGCTCGGGGGCGACGCCGAGGTGTTAGAAAACAATTGGTACCAGAGCCACGGTTACGCCGTCGCCACGTCGTCGCAGCCTCCGCCCGACAAGTCGAAGGCCCAGGGTGACATCTCTGGCGAGAAGAAGGAATCCAAGCCGTCGCGTTCGCCGCCTCGACGTCGGCGCGGCCGCTCCAGCCGCTCGCGCACCCGGGACGCCGGGGAGCGCATCATCGAGCGCGTCATCGAGCGACCGTCCGCGAACGTCTCCTGGCCGATGCTCACCCGGACAAATTATTCCGAATGGGCGTTGGTGATGATGGTGAACTTCCAGACTCTCAGGGTCTGGGAGGTTGTCCGGGACGGCATCAACGACGAGCACGACGACGAAGAGTACCACGACGATCGAGTTGCCATGGCCGGAATCCTGCGTTCGGTCCCCGCTGAACTATGGAGCACACTCGCCCGCAAGCCCACGGCGATGGAGGCGTGGGAGACCATCAAGAGTCTGCGGATCGGCGACGAGCGCGCACGCGACGCCAGCGCGCAGCAGCTACGCCGCGAGTTCAACTCCATCTCCTTCAAGGAAGGGGAAACCGTCAGCGAGTTCGGCCTCCGCATCGACACGCTCGCCACCAACCTCCGCACGCTCGGGGACGAGATCACCGACTCCGAGGTGGTGAAGAAGCTGCTGCAGGTCGTCCCGGAGAGCCTCAACCAGGCGGCGGTCTCCATCGAGATGTTCATGAACTTGAACACGGCCAAGGTGGAGGACGTAGTCGGGAGGCTGCGCGTGTTCGAGGAACGAGCCAAGCCGAAGCAAGTCACGGACGCCATGGGGCGCCTGATGATGTGCGAAGAGGACTGGGAGGCCCGTCGCAAGGGGCGTCGCGAAGGGGATAACTCCGGCGGCGGCGGCGGTTCCAGCAACCGCGGCAAGTCCAAGGGACGCGGTCGCGGGCGCGGCGGCTCGGGTTCCTCAGGGCGTGATGGCCGCACTGGCCAGAACGCGAACGCTAGGAACGCTGGTGGCGGGAAGCCACCACCCGGCGACCGCTGCAAGAACTGCGGCAACACGGGCCACTGGGCCAAGGACTGCCGCAGCAAGAAGATGGCGGCAGCCCACGTCGCGGAGGCGCACGGCGATGAAGAAGAACCGGCGCTCATGCTGACCATGGTGGAACTGGATGCGGGCGACGTCATTGCGCCTGCGCCAACGGCACCACCAGTGACGGGCGTCGCGCACCACGTCGAGCTGAACGAGGCCAAAGTCTTCGGCCAGTTCGAGGGCGAGGGCGAGGCCGATGAGGTGGCCGGGCGCTGGCTGCTTGACACGGGAGCAACTAACCATATGACAGGTGTGCGCAGCGCTTTTGCCGAGCTCAGCCCCGACGTCTCTGGGACGGTGCGTTTCGGCGACGGCTCGGTGGTGAACATTGAAGGACGAGGCACGGTGCTTCTGGCATGCAAGTCAGGCGAGCACCGCGCACTCACTGGCGTGTACTACATCCCGCGTCTCACTGCCAACATCATCAGTGTCGGGCAGTTGGACGACGCCTGGAGTAAGGTCGACATCGAGCACGGTATCATGCGACTCTTCGACCCCGACCGCCGCCTCCTCGCCAAGATCAAGCGCTCACCAAATCGCCTCTACTACCTCGACGTCCACATCGCGCGCCTGTGTGTGCTCGGCGGCGTCGCCCGGCAGCCGGAGTGGCTCTGGCATGCCCGCTACGGGCACCTGAACTTCCAGGCGCTGCGTCGACTGAGCCGTGAGTCCATGGTGAGCGGAATACCACCGATTGATCGGGTGAACCAGCTGTGCGATGCTTGTCTGGTTGGGAAGCAGAAGAGGGGCCGTTCCCGCAGCAGGCCTCCTGGCGCGCCGACGAGCAGCTGTAACTCATGCACGGCGACATCTGTGGACCGATCGAGCCTGCCACGCCGGGTGGCAAGAGGTACTTCCTTCTGTTGATCGATGACATGAGTCGCTTTATGTGGCTTACCTTGATCACTAGCAAGGATGAGGCAGCCGCGGCCATCAAGAAGTTCAAGGCCCATGCAGAGCTGGAGAGCGGGCACAAGCTCCGAGCCCTGCGCACTGACCGGGGCGGGGAGTTCACGTCCATCGAGTTTGGCGAATTCATGGCGGAACATGGCGTCCACCGGCAGCTGACAGCCCCCTACACGCCCCAGCAAAACGGGGTTGTCGAGCGCCGGAACCAAACTGTGGTTGCCACCGCTCGCAGCATGATGAAGGCAAAGGGCGTTCCCGGGAGGTTCTGGGGAGAAGCCGTGCACACCGCGGTCTACCTCTTGAATCGCTCCCCCACGAAGGCGCTGAATGGAGTGACGCCTTATGAAGCCTGGCATGGCGAGCAGCCGTCTGTCCATCACCTGAGGACATTCGGTTGTATCGGCCATGTCAAAGATGTTCGACCTCACCTCAAGAAGCTGGCTGATCGTTCGACGCCGATGGTGTTGCTCGGTTACGAACAAGGGAGCAAGGCGTACCGGCTCTATGATCCTGCTGGTGACCGTGTCCATGTGTCCCGCGACGTCGTTTTTGACGAGAACGCGAGCTGATCTGGAGTCTCTGATCGACTCGGCTCGGTATTGAGCCATTCAGCGTCTAGTACATGGTCTCGCTGTCGTGGCGGGACACCGGAGCCATCTGCATCACCGATGTCGCCAACTCCATCAAGCCCCGCACCTGCGCTGTCTCCATCGGGCTCACCGACTCCCATCGCGGTGTCTGAACACACCCAGTATTTGCGCATCCTCTGCCGCTCGCTTTCTCGCGCAGACGGCATCGAGTTTGCGACGCCACCGTCGTTCGACGACGCTCTGGACGTGGACGTGGACGACTCCGAACCCCAACGCTACCGGCTTGTCGACAACATCCTTGGCGAAGGAGCTCTCCCTGGGTATGCACCCCGGCCACTTGACTTTGATGAAGTCCATGCTGTCAGTGCTGAGGAACTAGGCTCGTTCGAGGAGGCGGAGCATGCGCCGGAATGGT